CATATTTGAGGTCACCCCCAGGAACCATTAAGATTGACACTTAGTTCGTGAAAATCCGATCATTAGAACGAAAGTTATTCAGGGTGATTCGTTTTTTTTTTTGCGGACTGTACCTTAAAAAATTAGTGTTACAATGTGTAACACTCCCTACTCCTTAATTACGTCCAGTCTATCTGGTCTCCACATTCCATCTCATCTTAAAACAAAAACTTTTTCTCACAAAAAATGACCTTCCCTTCTCCTAAGTCCACCCCCACTCTAAGGAATGACACTTCCTGTGTCATGCGTGGGAGAGGAATCAGGATCCTGTTATCATATTTAATTTTATTTTTGTTGTTACCTCTTTTCCCACTATTATTATTGTAATTTTTAAAAAGATTATAAATACACTCATTATTATTAAAAGATTTAAAATTGAAGTCAGTGTGTAGACCGTGTGGATAAATAGATTCATTAATGATCATATATTTATTTTCAGCTTCAAGACGTTTTTTAGGGCTTTTTAATGAAATCCAATACTTCTATTGAAATGTTTAGAAAAATGTTTAATTTCAAGGCTATTGTTATTATTATTAGAGTTTGTTTGTGTGTTAAACCTCTATGTAAATTATTTCTTTTGTGAAGAGGTTGAGAGGTCTGGGCAATATATATTACATCACAAATGAAGCATTTAATTTTATAGATACAGATAGTAGCCTTTCAAAGAGGGAAATTTAGAAAAGAATTAGCTCTGACGAGAAATTTGCAGGTTAATCATCGATTATCCTTGCATTTGAATTATTGGCGATTGATTAAACTGAAGCAGAGTGAAGCAATATTCCTTCTTCCAATCCAAAACTTTTAGTTAAATTTGCAAGACTCCTAGGAAGGAGACTCAAATAATCAATAATTCTAATGTTCAAAGATTGAATCTTGACGCATAAAAACTTTGAGCCGTGCATGATGACTTTGGGTTAAATTGACTGCTTCACTAGATAATTATTTAAAAACATTCCATCACAATCCTGCATGTTACGGGCTATGACGTTGTGATTCTTATGGGCAGGCGAAAACAAAAACTCTCCGAACTTCTCGAGGGAGTCACATCCTTTAAAAACGACTTCCTTACCATCAAAATAATGCATAACTATCTATATGTTCCCCGGAACTCTGGTCAGTCTCGATATCAAAAAAGATGTATTTATTATGATGAGGTGACTTTTTTTCTCTCTTTTTTTATAAAACATTTATGATCCACAGAATAAGTTTTTCCCGCAATTTTTACGAAAATACGTGATATGTTTTCCTTTAACAGTCACGACATAACCCAAATTGGTCATAAAAGGAGTTTTTTTCCGACGTCTTTATGTCTCTCAAAACAATCCTCTGACTTGCAAATCTTAGTACATATTTATCAAGGCAATAAATTCTAAGATTGCCTAAATGAAGGTCACTGAAACATGTATGACATCTATTTTTTCAGCGGTGCTTGGCAGCATTTTTAAAACCTAAATCACAGATAGAGCAATAGTAAGATTTATCTAGAAATCCAGTCATGGATGTTATAACATGAAAATGCTCCCCTACTTTCCAAATAAAAATCTTCTTTTCTCGACCTACTCCTTTGTATACAATCTAAAAGATAAAATTTTACGATCTAATACAGGTTTGAAATTGAAGCTAAATGGTCTTATGTGTATAAATCTATAAAATATATATCTTGAGAGCCATGATCTCCTTATTAAATCCTTCAGCATCAATAACGTGCAATTGAATATCTAGAGCTTGAGCAAATAACTCTATCTCTGCAAATACACAGGAACCCAAGCTTTTTCATTTTTTTTTTGAAGGGGTTTGTTACATTTACGAATTAGAGCATATGTTTGTGGTCCCTTCAAATGTTGTTGTTGCTAATTCCCATCTGGTCTGACGGGGTCAGACCAGATCAATTAATCCGTTAACATTGAGAAAATGGGAGAGGAATGAATATCGTTCCAGTCCAGCCCTAAACAGATCAAGATGTGCTCAGGTGATGCCTGGTTTTGTTGGCATTTAGGGCAAAGAGGAAAGATCTTTTGATTTGCAGAAAATGTGAGACTTTTCAGGTGTCCAGTGGCCAGTCGGGATAGGCAGGTGTTGGTTTGCCTGTCACCAGGGAGAGATAGAGAGAGTCCTGGTCTTTTTGCTTTATACCAGTAGTGAATAGGTGGAAGCAGCCACTTTTGTTTATTCTGGGCCTTTTGCCTTGCAAAAAGTTCAAGGTATGTAAGCTCTGAGGTGGAGGGGACTGGATGGTCTAGTCCCTTCTTTGCAAGAGTGTCAGCCAACTCGTTGCCGTGGATATCGGCGTGGGACCTTCAAATGTTTGTGGTCCCTACCGTATTTGTTACGTGTTTAGAAGATGTCAAGGTTATTCTTTA